AAGAATAAAAAGAAGAATGAAAAGAAGAATGAGAAGAATGAAAAGAAGAATGAAAAGAAGAAGTATTCCAGTACAGCAAAAAGTGTATCTGCAGAGAGCTCCGCTATTTCTGACAGTTCTCTGACAGTTCCTTCACATTTACAGCGGTTGAAACATTGTATCTGTTTCCGAATAAAAAACATCTGTATCCTAAATGGAAACAAATAGATACAATGTTTCAACCGCTGTACATGTGAAGGAACTGTCAGAGAACTGTCAGAAATAGCGGAGCTCTCTGCAGGGACACTTTTTGCCGGCTGATCGGGAAAAATCCGATTCGCGCACCCGAAGTATGCTAATATTCGGATTCGACGCAAATCAAATTTTTCCTGAAATTCGAAACGAATTCCACTTCGCCTGGTTCGATTCGCTCATCTCTACTTACAATGACTTGTTTCTTTCATATTACAATGGTTTAATTCGTATTACATTGGGTTGATTCAATAGCTTATCTCAATAGAATCGATAGCTTATGTTGTTAGATTAATTCGTTAAATTCGTAAATTCGATAGGTTCGGTAGATTGTATCGATTATGATTACTCTACAGTGACTTGATTCGGTGGAACTACAAGTAAACACACACAACAGTTTTTAGACACAGATCTACCTGCACTGTTAAACCATAGAGGAACACACAAGTGCATTAAATACCTATTTGGCCTTCTCTCCCCTCCATGGAGCTTCTCTGATTGGAACTTTGTCTGTTTCCTCCTCTGTCTGGTGAGCATGTGTCTCTAGAAAATTCTAACAGGAAGTTTTACACAGGCATAAATGTGAAACTGGCTGGGATTGGTTAAGGCTCTGTACAGTGTGAGGCTCTCTGTGATTGGCTCACCTTATACTAACTCTTAAAGGCATATTTTCCTTTTCTGATTCTGCTAACACAATTAATATAAAAATGTCATATAACAATCAAAGACATAAATTACAGCAATGATTCTGCTTTTGGCTTTAACATATACACATATACACTGTACTGAGGTTATTGGCAGGTTTGGTATACACATATGTGAACCATATTAGCAACTTAGGACTGGTCTTAGCTGGCCAGCTACACTGGGCACCCTGGCTGCCATTGTGCTATATGCTGGGTGTTCTTTGCGTTCCTGTGCCTTTAAGAGGGGTGGGCTCCCTGATGAGCACCTGCCCTAGTTCTATCCATTAACTACATGTGCCTCTACTATGGGGACTCAAATTTGTAGAGTTAGGACCACAGAATATCAGGGTGCCGTGATGGGGCTCTGTGGCTTACGTATGTATTTGCAAATATGTGCTAACTAAACCCCTGTTTTTAAATGCATACTGTTAGACAGGTTAACCACTTGCCTATCGGGCACTTATACCCCCTTCTTTACCAGGCCAATTTTCAGCTTTCAGCGCTGTCGCACTTTGATTGACAATTGCGCGGTCATGCAAGATTGTACCCATATGAAATTTTTACCATTTTTGTCTGACAAATAGAGATTTCTTTTGGTGGTATTTAATCGCCGCTGGGCGCTTTACTTTTTGCACTATAAGCAAAAAAATAGCAAAAAATTTGAAAAAAAAAAAAGTTTCTTTGTTTCTATTATAAAATTTTTCAAACAGGTAATTTTTCTCCTTCACTGATGTGCGTTGATGAGACAGCACTGATGGGCACTGATAGGTGGCACTGATGGGCACTGATAGGCGGCACTGAATGAAGGGCACTGATAGGCAGCACTAATGAGGTGGCACGGATAGGTGGCACTGATAGGCAGCACTAATGAGGCGTCATGGATAGGTGGCACTGATAGGCGACACTGATGATGGGTACTGATAGACAGCACTGATAGGTGGCACTGACTGGCATCACTGCTGGGCACTGACTGGTGGCACTGCTGGGCACTGACTGGCACAACCGCTGGGGACTGACTGGTGCCACTGACTGGCAGCACTGCTGGGCTGCACTGATGGGCACTGGTGGGCACAGGTGGGTGGCACTGGTGGGCACAGATGGGTGGGCACAGGTGGGTGGCACTGCTGGGCACAGGTAAGTGGCACTTCTGGGCACACTTGTGTGACACTGCTGGGTGGCACAGGTGGGTGCACTGCTGGGCACAGGTGGATGCACTGCTGGGCACAGGTGGGCAGAGCTAGTGGGCGCACTGCTGGGCACAGGTGGGCGGAACTTGCGGGTGGCACTGCTGGGCACTGATCATCAGGGCATTGATCATCAGTGCCCTGATGATCGGTGCCGATCCCTGCTCTGACAACTGCCGGTTCTCGGCAGTACTTTCCTCACAATCTGACAGCGTGAGGAAAGTGCAGCCGAGAACTGGCAATTGCATTTCCCGGTGATCAGCGTGTCATTGGACACGGCTGATCACGTGGTAAAAGGCCGCTGTGATTGGCCTTTTACCACATCACGTGATCAGCTGTGTCCATAGGACACAACGATCACGGAGATCACCGGGTGCGCGCCCCCATGGGCGCGCAGGAGAGCGCGTTCTGGGAGGACATCATATGATGCTAATTAGCTGCAAGATTGCTTTAACAAGCAGCGGGAGAAGATGCCCCCCTCCCCCTCTGCCTTCCGCGGACTTCTTGGGCAGTCCTGTGTCACCGGGGAAACCTGAGAATGCAGCCGGTGTTTTCTGCCAGCTGACCATAGAGCTGATTGGAGACCGGAATGGTGCCAATCATCTCTATAGTCTAAGAAATCGGAAGCTACGAGCAATTCATCACTTCCGTTTCACAGGATATAAACAGCGCCATTTGTAAATTGGGAAAGTATCTGATCACGCTGATTTTGGTGAGATTAGATAATGTAAGAGCAGAGGAGATATCTAGAGTCTGATAGACCCCAGATTTCTCAAAAAAGAATATATGACAATGCCCATTGAAATTATAGGGAATTTTTTTCACTGCAGGAGCAAATTGGATCATGCTTTGCTGGGGTTTTTTTGCCTTCCTCTGGATCAACTGTGGGTATAGGATTATAACTTTTTTTTTTTTAATGGTTGAACTGGATGGACTTTTGTCTTTTTTCAGCCAGACTAACTATGTAACTATGTACAGTAACTATTTGAATTCCCTGTGATAGCATTAAAAGTGCTAAAAAAGAAAAATGAAAGGGACAGTGTAAAAATAATGTAAAAAAATCAAAATAACTTAAAAAAAAAAAGTACCCTCACCCCCTGCGCGCGCATGCACCTGCGTGCACGAGCGTTGACCCCTTGCCTGTCTGTAAACAGCGGTTGCACCATACATGTGAGGTATCTCCACGAACGCCATATCAAGGGCAGTAATTCTAGCACTAGACATCCTCTGTAAATCTAAAATAGTATCTTATAAAGGCTTTTAAAGCGTTGCCTATGGATGTTAAAAATGTATGCGGTTTGTCGCCATTGCACGGGGCATGTGCAGTTTTAAAGCATGTCATGTTCAGTATCTATTTACTCAGCATAGCATCATCTTTTATATTTTACCAAATAATTTGCCAATATATTTTTATTTATATTATTATTATTATAGTGTTTGTGTGTATTAAAATTTAAAGTGTATTTTTTCCAAACAAATTGTGCTTGAAAAATCGCTGCATGAGTACTATGTGATATAAAAAATTTGCAGCACCCCACATTTTGTTCATAGGGTGTCTGCTTTAAAAAAAATATAATGTTTGGGGATTCAAAGTAATTTCCTAGCAAAAATACAGATTTTTTTCATGTGAACAAAAAATGTCAGAAAAGGCTTGGTCTTCAGGTGGTTAGAAGACTGAGTGATGTGTGGAATAAATTTCTAATACTGGGCATAAAATGCTCCCCCACCCCCCAAAATGACCCCTTTTTGGAAATAGACTGCCCAAACTATTTGCCAAGAGGCATGTTGAGTCAATAGAATAATTTAATTTATTTTTTTACCACAAGTTTTTGGAAAATGACAAAAAAAATGTTTTTACACAAAATTGTCAATGTATTGCTCAAACATGCCATGGATATACTGTATGTGGAATTACTCCCCAAAATACATTCTGTTACTTATCCTGAGAATGGGGATACCACATTTGAGAGACTTTTTGGCAGTCTAGCCAAGTACAGGATCCCAAAATCCAATAACCATCTTCAGGCTTTTAAAGGGCTTTATTTCCTCATTACGCTTTCTGACGACCTATCACAGTTTCGGAGGCCCTGAAATGCCAATATAGCACAAAACCCCCTCCAAATGACCCATTTTTGGAAAGTAGACACTCCAAGGAATTTGATAAGAAGCATAATGAGTATTTTGCAGATCTAGTTTGTTGCCACAAGTTTTTGGAAAATAAAGAAAGAAAACAAAAACATATTTTTTCTTTTCTTTTTTTTATATTTCAAAACCTTATGAGAAAAAACGAGATCTGCAAAATACTCATCATGCCTCTTTTTAAATTCCTTGGGGTGTCTACTTTCCAAAAATACTTTATTTGGGGGGTTTGGTGCTATCCTGGCATTTCAGGGCCTCCGAAACTGTGATAGGTAGTGAGGAAGTGAAATGAGGAAGTTACGCACCTTCAGGCTTTCAAAGTGGTCATTGGATTTCAGGCTCCTGTATGTAGCTAGGCTCCTAAAAAGTCTCACATATGTGGTATACCCATACTCGGTAGAAGTAGCAGAATGTATTTTGGGGTGTAATTCCATATATACCCATGGCTTTTGTGAGCAATATATCATTTAAGTGACAACTTTGTGTAAAAAAAAAAAACAAAAAAACATTTTGTCATCTTCCAAAAACTTGTGGATAAAAAATAAATCTTCCATGGACTCAATATGCCTCTCAGCAGATAGCTGAGGGTAAAATCCAAATAAGAATAAGTCTGTGGGTATATGGTAAGATGAATCCAGAAGTGAGCAGAGATCAGTATGCTGGTGCTCTGAAGGAATGATAAGATTGCGCGCTTACCAGATGCGCATAGGGTATACGCATTAATATATCCACCTCAGGACACTTAGGGTATGAGGTACGGTAGGTGTATGAAGATCATCCTTCAAGGAATAGGCAGCAAGCGGTCAATGGGTGAGGTCTGCTTAATCCAGAGGTCCCCTTTAGGATGGATAGAGTCAGCCACCTGGTTACAGGGATTCCCTTCCTCTGGATGCTGGATCAATCTGGAAATCTCCACTGGCTCTGAAACTTAATGGCTCCATAAAGAAGCCATAAAAAAGGTGCCCATAGTGTAGTATTTCCTTGTAATTTTATTTAATGAAAATAGTAGTACAGTAGTAAAAGCAAGGTACACTGACCATTCATTAAGATGGCCGCCGGACCAGCATGTGGCTCCTGCGATGTGATGTCACAGCGTGTTGATCCCCTTAGGCCTTTCGTGCCAAGCACATCCTCAGAGGGGAGATCAACATTCCTATGACTAATGCGCTCCGTGTCGCTGCCAGTTTGTCGAAGGGTGATTAGTGTGCATGCGCGTTCACATCAACACCATTTTGTTGTGCATCAAGAGTCACAGCAAAGTTATTATACTGTGCTGGACACTGGTGTTGTATAAAAACCGGCAAACTGTGTATAGTTACACATTAAAATCTCAACAAAGGTGCTTATTAGACCTATGTCCCTGTTAAGGGAGCTAAAACAGAGAAGAAAATTAAGAAAAGAAAAAAAATATAAAAAAAACGATGTAAACCGATCAATCTATGTTTACAACATATTAAAGGGGTAGTAATAAAAAGTTATAATCCAGTAGGATAAGATTATTGCTCAAAATAAATATAATTATATCTCGTAGGAAGTAATCACTATGCTACCCTTGATGATGTATAAGCAATATAATATGTATTAAAAATAACTCTTTAAAATGGATATTATATAAAAGGTGCAATTGCTACCCAGTATGTAAAAAAGGCCAGTGTCTGAAAAGGTAAGTAAAAGAGCCATGTCAAAATATGCGTTAAGAAAACATGTTAAAACTGTATAAATGCCAAATAAATACTGTATCAAATAAAAATCCAGAATAAAATATGTATCCAACAAGATAGAATAGGATATGCATGAATCCAAAAAATTTTGTCAATCATAAAATCCTCTGTAATAAACACATAATAATATATAATAAGTACATAAAGTGATATCATATGCTCCATAAAATGAACTAAAATTATAGAATAGAATAAACAAGAAATATAAAATTCATACGGAGGAACTAAAATCGGTGAAAATTCTAAAGATATTCCTAAAACCAAATTCATTTAAGAAACAGACCAGTATTCAAACCCTTAATAACATTAACTGTTGTCTGTAAAGCAGTTCAAATCAACCTCTACATTGTGTCCCCTGGGGTACAAGGTATCTAGTTCATAAACCCACTTTGTCTCCAATTGTGAGACCGCCAGTTTTTTGTATATACCTCTCCAGTGTAGGGTGACAACGACTATCCCCACAATTCTAAGGGAGGTGGGGTCTCTGTTATGGTACAATCTGTAATGCTTAGACAACGAGTGCTCTTTAAAGCCTTGTTTAATGTTGTAGACATGCTCACGAAGGCGGTCTCTGTGTCTCCTCATTGTACGTCCCACGTATTGTTTGTTGCAGGGACATTCGAGCATGTAGACCACATGTCTACTGTTACAGCAGATACAATTCTTTATTTTGTATGATCTACCTGTAGTATTAGAGGTGAATGATTCTATTTTCCGTTTTCTGATGTTATTACAATTACATATAACCCATCTGTTACATGGATGGAAACCATTTTAATTAGCAAACATTGAAATAGTTTTTGGTGGGTCTACGATATTAGGCACTAAATGATGTCTAATGGCTGTAGCCTTCCGAAAAATTATTTCTGGTTTCACAGGTAAAATGTTTGAAAGTATCGGGTCTGTTTTTAAAATATCCCAGTTCTTTTTGATGATCCCACTAATAGCCTTATGCCGCATTGAATAAGTGGTAAGAAAAGGACAGACACGGGTTTGTGCCGTTCTTACCGTATTAGTCAGCATTTCATTTCTATCTAAGTCAGCCACGGCATTCAGAGTGTTATTTAGAGTAATCTCGTTGTAGCCTTTCTCTAGAAATCTCTTTTTGAGAATCAAGGCTTGTGAGTGATAATCAGCTATATTTGTGCAATTTCTATGGATTCTCATGAATTGACCCTTTGGAATATTCGCTAGCAATGATGGGTGGTGGCAGCTATCCACAGGAATATATCTATTGCAGTCTGTTTTTTTTAAAAAAAGATTTAGCAGTGATTTTCCCATTATAGTTCATTAGGGTAAGGTCCAGGAAATTAATCTCTAGTTTACTAAAAGTATAAGTCAGGCTAATATTAAGATCATTGTTATTTAAAGTGCTGAAAAAATTAGTC